TTGTCATTCAATCCATTGTTCGTCTTTATTCTCTTTTGTACTGTGTTAATGCACATATGAATGCTAGCTTCATCACTGCATCATCTGTCCTACCGTTTACCGGAACATTTTCGCTCAGTCAAACTTTTGCTATTCCTCTATGAAATCAATTTTCTCCAAGGGTTAATTTCGCCCTTCACAGTTAATTACTATGTTTATTTTGCTGTTTTCTTCTATTCGTTGTAATGATAAATTCGCTCTTATTGCAAACAAAGGTAAATGTTAAACTGCAGCGAAAATTTTAGCAGAACTGGACTGGGTCGATAGCCGGCGACCAGTAACTCAATATTGGTTAGAGCTTCCGTCTAGAGTTTAGAGGGTCCCGGGTTCGAACCCCGGTCTGGCTGTGCATTTCTCTTGCTGCCGTTACATATAATACAAAACTAAACAAATATGATACGATTGTTTTGTATTTTTTGTTTTTTTCATTGTATTTTTTTTTTATTTTATTTTTTGAAATGTTTTTCGTTATAATTTTTCAAACAACTACTATTAATTTACAAACTGACTAACTTGTACTCCCTGCCGTCTTCGGCTGAACATTGAATGGGTGCGGGCCGGTGTAGGTACACGTGAACGTCTGGAAGTCTGTCACAGTCAGATCTGCAAGGTGTGTCTCGACAACCACGTCTTCCTTCACACTCGCCGACGTAACCATTGCTGTCATGTCTGGTGCCTGTAGTTAAACGTTTAAATATCAAAAAACTTTAAAATAGATTGTTATTATAACTCTTTTTGTCAAAGATCATTTACAATTTTAGTACTTCATATTTTCTAACATATTGTATTTTGTTTCATTGTTGCAAGTATTTGTGTACTAACGTCACTTTTTTGTGAATATGTCGTCACTAAATTATGTGCACTCACGGAGTTGGTTATCTCCACGGTGAGGGTTCCGGTTCCAACATTTCCGCACTGGTCAGTTACAGTAAAGGTCAAAGGGTATGAACCAACCGTCCACTGTCCAGTTTGGGGCTGCACTTGATCTGACAAGAAGACAATGCTCTATCACTACTAGCTGAAGGGTTCCCGTGTTTATGTCAAACATGCAATTAATAATGACATCATGCCTGAGAATGAATTTTCTCCAAAAGCCATATAAAGCGTTTGTAAAGAATAATCGCAGAGTGTATTATTCACTTGAGACGCAGGTTATATAAATATTTTATTATGACTTTTAATTTCACCTTTTCCTCAATATCATACTTTTTCGTGTCATTACTACAGGGTAACACTTATTTCTGCTATTTCCCAATATAAAATATTTTCAGGTAATAAGGCAGAATGTTTATAAAAAAAAATAAGCCGCATCGAAAGCGATGACGTCATATACCTGACAACATAAACCGTTCACTTTTCAGTATGTACAAGTGTACCGTATAACCACATAAACAGACCTTGGGATTTTTTAAATGCATTTTATATTTTACTGAATAATAATTATCTCTCTTTGACTATTAAAATAAATCCTTAATCTTAAATATAATAAGGTGGTAATGGGCGAAAGATATACCTACCTAGTGCATTTATTTGAAACTCGTAAGACGTTGTCGTCATGGCGACGGTGAGTACAGTATCCTTTGGATCCACGTCGTTGTAGGTCAGTGTTAGAAGTGTGGTGGGCGGGGTGTCCGTGTCGGCGTAAGTCAGGGTCTGGTCAAGGTTTGAAAACGTCGGATTGGAATCTATTAATATATACATGTCGACTTTGAATAAAACTTTACGTTACTTCGCTTTCCTCGTGCATGAATAATTGCATATTACATTTCAGCGATGACGTTTTCCAGTACTAAGCATAAGGCATGTATACACAACACAATTTCATCATATACATTCTCTATTGTATTTCCTCATATTATGTATAATTATTCAAAAATAATTATATATTTTTTGGCTTATGCATACATTAGATAAGATGTCCATTAAGTAACTATTTGAGGTCCAAAGTAACCGAGGGATATAAATCACGGATTTATCGATATACTCACTGCCGAGAGTTTGAGCATTAACTGCATAGGTTCGAAAACCAAGAGTTATCCCCGCTGTCCAATCCTTGGAACCGCCGATAGAAGGCGCTGCCATTGTTAGCTGTGTGGTACCAGATCCGGCTACTGAGTTGTACGGTATCATGTCTTTACCGGCAGTATACCTGTAAAGGAAATGAACTAATTTTTTTTATTTATTATGCTTTTACTGATAAAGAAAAACCTCAATGTAAGAAGTGTCATTCTGACATGTAAATGCCGTGGCTTTACTATTAAGACGCTTTGTTTTAACCCGCGGGTTGTG